TGTAGATTTGCCAAGCCCTAACGGGAAACATTTTAGACACTTATTGAAATAAATGGTGATCTTTTCTTGTTATTTTGTTTTTTATCTGAACAAATTAAGGTAAATAAAAGATTTTTCTAATTTGCTCGAAAACGAATCAATTGATTTTAAATAGTCAAACGTCAAAATAAAGGTCTTCAAAGGAGTTTTTAAACAAGCTATTACTCGATACACATTGTCATTTAAAACGTTTAAGGGAGTGTGACCCTGAAAGGCCAAGGGTGAAACGAAGTGAAGTAGTTTTTTGTTAAAAAGCTGTCACCCTTGACAAATCTTCTGAGGTGTCGCGACGTTTCTTCTTTTAATCAGTGGTTTTCGATAAATCGGTGGTGGGAGGTTTTCAAGTACATGACTGATTTACAATTTTTTCAAACCGGAGTACAAGAAGTTCCGAGATAATCCAAGGAGTCTGTTCTCGATTTTCAATGGAGTCCAAAGAAATCTAATCACAGTACATCTTCCGTTCCAAGAAAATGTGAGTACCTCCAGAGTGTCAAGAATCTGAATTGGTTTGCTTTTCCTAGTAGTACTCTCTGACAAAAATAAAGTCGAGACTTGGCTTCACAACATTACAAGACAGTGCTTTTCGAGTGATTGGAACTTCTGGGTAACAAAATTGATGGATGAAGATTTCAAGTCGGTAGCGGGGCGCCATAAAATGTAGGTCACTGGAACTAAAAAAATGATGTGTTTTAACGACTTTCTCAAATAAAGCAGGTATATATACTATGTGACATATAAATCCGAACACCCAGTTTAAATGGTTTTATTTTAATAAAATTTTGTATAAGTACTTAATGAAGCATAATAAGTAAATGATAAAAATTGCAAAATGATTGCACTGCTTTAAAGCCCTTTGGCCTTTAATAATGTGTGGATGCACACTGATGTGCGACGCATTCTCCAACGCGCCTAGGCATGCTTCTGATCAGGTGGTCAATGTCCTCCTGTGGTATCTCATTCCAGGCAACCACCAACTCGAAGTGCTTGTAGAGTCTGAGGAGGACGTTGCAAATTGAGCAATCTCCTACCCATCATATCCCACACTTGCTCAATTGGGGATAAGTCGGGAGATCTTGGTCGCTATGGTAACAACGTGACATCATTATGTTGAAAGAAGTCTATTGTGACTCTTGCAACATGTGGTCGGGCATTATCTTGTTGGAAAGTTGGATCTGCCAGGGTGTCAAGATAGGGTAAAAGATGGGGTTCTAGAACTTCGTGGATATAACGCTGCGCGTTCATGTTACCTCTGATGAAGATTAAAGGTGACCTGGAACCATAAGCTATAGCACCCCAAACCATAACTCCAACAGTGTGATGAACATGTCTTTCAACAAAAAACTGTGGATTCCTCCTTTCACCACGTCGCCTTCTAACCCTGGCACGACCATCGTGCATGCCTAAACAAAATCGAGACTTGTCACTAAAGTCCATTCCTGATCCCAGAGTGACCGTTGTTTGCACCACTCAAGGCGATTACGTCGGTGTTCTAGAGTTAAAGGGAGGACCCAGTGTGGCCGGTATGAAAACAAGCCAAAACTTCTCATTCGTCGGTAAACACTTCGCATGCCAATAGGTCTTCCGTGTTCTGCAAACCATTCATTTGCAATGGACCTGGTAGTGGAGAAACGGTCCCTTAAGGCCAATAATCTTAGGCGGCGATCTTCACGATCTGTTGTTCTACGGCGGCGTCCAGTGCCCCTTGCTCTTTACGTACGGCCTTCTCGAAGCCATGCCTGACAACACTTAACCACAGTGTCTACACTTCTTTGCACTCTAACTGCAATTGCCCGAAAAGAAAGTCCAGCTTCCCGAAGTCCCACTATAAGGCCCCTATCAAACTCACTAAGTTGACGAAATCGTACAGGTCTCTGTACTCTAGGCATCGAAACCGATCGTAAAGGATGTCAAGAACCAAAATCCGCCAACGTTGCTTCTTTACTGCGGCTGAAATATTTGTTTTTAGAGCGTTAGTGAATTAAAAAAAAGCAGTATAAAAACCGGAATGCCCAACTGATAAGGCTGAAAATTTTTTCACTTGTTATTTACAGTAAGATAAATACATTCACCAACTTTTATTAAAATAAAACCATTTAAACTGGGTGTTCGATTTATATGTCACTTAGTATATTATACTTCGAAGTTGAGTCATTTGTTTTAACAGTGAGTAGATCTGATCAAAAGAAATGTTTTTTTCCTTTACCATTTTTCTGGTAAAATTAATGTAACAAAGTTATAGCCCTTTGGAAGTTTCAGTACCGCCCTGTCTCAATAATAATATTATGTGCTCGTGTTTGGCGACAACGGATATAATTCGCCTTATCGGTTCATCGCATCGGAAACAAAAAAGCGAAATAATTTGGAACGATGTTTTTATAATTATTTCATTCAGTTGTATACAGTCAGTGTCAGTCGGCAGTGGATAGTGGTGTCTGTTGCGTGGCTCAAACGAAATAAAAAATGGCACATGTTGCCCAATCGAGTGCAACCAACCCCTCGTGCCTTTGTTAATGTAGTACAACGGGTTCGTGAATCATTTGACTTAAGACCTCACATATGGACGGCATGCCGGTGCTCCAAGACCTCACGATCAAATACAGGTCCGCACTGAAATACTTGTCGGGAGGATACTTCATAAAACAAGGTAAATTTTTTTTTTTTATTTTTACACACATATTTTGGTTTATCTTCCTTCTACAATCATTATCTGAAAATTAATGACTCAACTTCAAAGTCACCCTGTATAATATAGTCGGATGAAACATTTCAATGGAATAATATTGACAAAAGGCACTGTAGCACTTAATGATTGGTTGTAGAATGTGCAACGGGTATTATAAAAGTTATGCAATACAGCCTGATTTATTGACTTCGTTCAAAGCAATTTCCACCACATTCAATACATTTCTCCATACGCCAAAACCGTTCCTTAAGCCACCTCCTCCAAGTTTCACCCGGAAGTGCGACACACTTGGAAATAGACTGTAAGGAGGGTGCTCAATAATTTTCAGTCCAGGGTGCAGGCTTTGGCAGGGTGAGCTGGAGCGTTGTCATGGTGGAGGTAGCAAGTGTCTATTCTTGGCTTTGACCGCAGATTTTTCGTAGACTCTATGAGCTTAGCAGTTTCGTGTACCACTTAGCTGTGACTGTCTTCAGTGTGTCCAAAGCGACACGCTCCAGAATTTCGCTCGATTTTAAAAATACATTTTGTTCCTAACAGATCAGGATTTAATGACAGTTGCGGGTGTGTCCGCATCATCAAAGACCCAAACTTTGTTTTGAGCCCTGGTATGCTGTTCACATGCCGCCAGTTATCAAATATTTGCAGCATCTTTCGTCCTTACTTGTAGATGGTTACGCGGAATTTAACGAATTGGTGGTGCATGAAAGTGTGAGGTCTCCTCTATCTGTTGGTATGTCACTCTCCGGTCTTCGTCAAGTATTTTCCTCCCTCTCAGCGTCCGCCAGAGTGAAATTTGGAATTCTTTGTTCGCCATGAATATACTCGTACGATGAGGACAATCATTCTTTAATGCAAGTGTCATTTCTTCTGAACATTGGTCTATTCTTAAGCTACGCGTAAAGTTATATCGTATAACTACCCTTATCCCACTACGTGACGGCGATGTCCTTGTACGCACTATACACTGTCAATAAGAATGCACAACTAATTCAACAGACGTGCTGCTAGCGGCTACTATATACTTATGAACATGTTTCAACATGCAATAACATGCAGCCTCCTGCGTCCGTTAAGTCATATCGCGAAATTTTTATAGTACCCTTTTACAAAGACTCCCAACGTCTTCATTTTGGAGCTTAGTCATTTTTTATTCTAGAGTTACAGGGTATTTCTGAGGAGCTTTAGAATGAGGTATCACACAATCCGCCATCCTACTTGAGAAAAGGTACAAAATGCCGCCCTGCTGCCATCTTGAGAGCCCAACTGCCACTTTCATGCGCGAATATATTATTCATACGCCATTTCAACATATCAAGCTGACGAATACCAAATATAAGTAGGAATAGCCTTCCGGCACGGGTATTATGTAAAAAACCTATAAAACTTCAAAACAACCTATAAAATGTCACCTTACAGTCTAGGTAGTTTTTAGGGTGCAACCAGTAATTTATTCCACGTTTGCTCATTAGGATCGTTGTGAGGGTCTATGGAGGAATGACTATACGCATTGTTGGTTGCATTATGTATTTTGTAAAACCGAGTAGTCTGTACTTTTAATCTCTGAGAGCAAAGTTGGTTGAATAGCAAGATCGCATTTGAATGATTATGTGTATTGGCTTGCATGTGTATAAAATCAGAGATCTTTGCTGTGTGAGAAAATTATCACTGAATATGCTGCCATTGAAGTATATCTATTAGCTGTGCCCGACGGGTTATTTTTATGTCGTTCTTTCTGAAAACAGGTTATTTTAAGCGTTATAAATTACGATTTCTCCCGTTTTTTGTGTTTTAAAAAACTTTGAGAAGCACTACGAGAAAGTGCGATCGCACCCGCGTTGTGTGCAATTAAGCTACATGACAGAAAAATAAGTAATGTCGCATCATACATCTAAAATGTTTCCAATGCCTAACATCTAGGCGCTGATTTGATGTTTCTATTGACATCGCAAAATAAATTTCTATAAAATTTAAATGACTGGAAATAAAGAGCAATGTAATAACCTTTTCACGTTTCATAAATATTCCTGTCTCTAGCATATTTTCTCACCTGTTCCTTCTCCAACCAGGGATTTTCCTTTCTTATCTCTCTCATTTTTGAAATCCAGCAAATTTGCATATTTAGTTTCTAGAATGAATAAGAAAAAGTCGATGCGCAAATAATTTCTGGCTTTGTATTTGAGACAAGAATCCAATGGAATGGTCATCAACATATATTATTAGCAGACAAATCCTCACTATGCATCTATGCATTACCGTTTCATTCTAGCTATAGTATACAACATACAGCTTAGAACTCCAGTAATGCCATCTCTGGAGCAAATTTTACATTACATCAGAGCCAAACGTTGATAAACTAAAGGATCATGACGAGTTCACAACAAGTGCCCATCAGCTAGTGCTAAGTTAACATCCTGTAGAAAAACATACCTAATGCCACAAAAAAACAATATAACGTCAGAAAAGATCGACATAATGTCACTTTTCAAGATACGTCATACCCGCGCGGAGAAGTATTGTATACAGATACCGATTCACTGATCCACAATATCCTCTCAGAATCACGCAATATTGTGTTTACATTCGTATTCAGCTGAGATACGCCGTAAGTTACCTCGTCCCACTAATATATATATTCCAGATGTCATGATGTGCAAGAGCAAGCAGGGTGGAATGCAAATTCTGAGATTAGTTTCTAGTTTTGGCCACTTATGCACTAATTACGCACTTTTTTTATTAAGGTGATCTTCTGGGCAGTTTGGTACATTCTCCCTGTCATCCTATGCTCCACTGAGAAAATTAATGCAGGTGTGTTACTTATGTATCAAATCATATCTTCAAAGTGTCTCAAGTTCGGACGTTTTCTCAAACCGTTATGTCAGGCCTCAACACCCTCATCAAAATTAGTGGAATGGATAATTGAAGGTAAGTCATTATTTAAGTGTCAGAAAATTAGTTTGCACGAGTTTTGTTCCCGCATACCTTCACTTCTTTTGATACTGATCTGTACTGTATTGCGAGAATCACTTGAAACAGTCCATAACAATGGAAAATGCTGAGTCACTTTACCTTCCAAACGGGCCTTTGCGTTTATTTTTTTTAGCCTAATCTCAAGGATCTGTATTTCAACTCGCGCTAAAATTTTTGAATGGTGTTGAGATCTACTCCAGAAAATTCAAGAGATTGCATCTGTGTTCTCTTCTATTCGAAAAAGACCATTACGTTCTTTCGACCTTACCCGCCCAAAGTATGTGACTCTGAAAAGCCGTTTCTACAAAATTGTGCAGTTTTGCCTATATGAGGACTGGAAAAACTTGTGGTAGGTCGATAGTAAAATCTGACCGCGACACTCTCACACGCCTGCATGTGATAGAGGCCCTTCATGTTACATGCTGATTGCTAGAAGAGGTTTGCTTAGAACATCACTGCTAGGATTTGCGATAACGAGTATCAAGCTCGGAGGTATTTACCACTACTGAAAGGACCTATCTCGAGAGGAGCAGTAAGACCTAGTGATTATCCTATGCACTGTTACGTGTTTATCACTGGAACCCCTCTAGTACTCATTCATCCCCATGTTTGTTCCACTTTGTCCCGGTGGGTAGCCTCCAATTTCTCTAACAGCGTTCCCTCCCTCTCCTCTACTCTATAAATGCTTCACCTACTAGCAATAATCTCACGATTATGACGCTCCTTGCGAACCTCACAGACTGCACGATCTTACCTGAATCCACCATGTCCTAAATACACATCACGAGCAAACCTTCACGGAGCTTGGCACCGAGTCGTTCCAGAGTAAACTTAGCGAGTAAATATTCGCTCCTAGAAAATTGTTACGATAAGAAAATGAACATCTTACACGGATGGCGCATAAAGGCAGCTATATGCACTCCTCCATGGCCTCGGTGCAAGGCTTCACCGTCATAACTGTAAGCAAAGTGTAATTTGTTCGGAACTTTCCGTTACTGCTTTCGCTGAACGTTATGCAATTTTGGTGAATACGTGAACACGCGAGGTAGTATGAATAGAAAATATTAGGTTTGGGACCAATAAAATTATTGCTCCGAAAAGTCTTATTAAACGTAGCAATCTACGCATGGTAAATGTTTCCCTCAAATTACCCAGATAAGTATAGAGCACGTCCGTTTTGAGACATGAAGTACTTGTAACGGTGGGACGCGACTAGGATACTGTTTCGGACCTATCTAATCTGATGAAGTCCAAAACGTCCAATCATTTTGCTGAATATATCTTTTCACTGTAAATCATGTTCAACCAGGAAATGGTATGATACGATATAACACTTGATGCCCAAGGGGTGTTCTTGAACTTTGATGAGAGATAGATGACTATTCGTTTTACACTGACCCGAGACAACTTTCACAAGAACGTTGAGGTATTATTTTCTTGAATTCCGGCATTTATCAAGAACTATTATACATCCTTTAGTCCAAGAAAATAATGACGTCGCATGTGCTTACCCTAGCCGAGACTCCAGGACAGTACACGAACCTCTAGAACTTCCGTCAGGATAGACAAACCCTAGATGATCTTTCAGGAATGCATACCTTCACCCTTGTGACAATATTTATAATCTTTTGGGACAGTCCTGGTAGACAGTCCATGAAATGAAGCTTCTTGAGATTTTATATATAATTGTTACCCGTAGTAACATAGTACCAATCCAGCATGGCTTTATGAGTCGTAGATCGACTGGCACTTTTTATTCAACACTTCAACTAGTCATGCACATTTTTTCAAGCCATTTCATAGAGTAAATCCTCATATTCTTCGAAAAAAACTAAACAATTTTGGCTTTTTGCAAATCATTTATGGGACAGATTGTACTGTGATAACATATATTTCGAGCATAATGACTACAATGCCAACACACAGAGAGTAAGCTCTGGTGTTCCACAAGGGTCAGACCTAGGTCTACTTCCATTTGTTCCATTCATCAATGAAACAAATAATGTAATTGCATCGATTACATTGTTTCATGCATATGATTTGGTAGTATTCTATGTAATAGCTACCAGGGACGAATGGGTGACCTGCAATGAATGCTTAATAGTATTCATGAATGGTGTGTTATCAAGCAGTTGGTACTAACGATATCAAATTTTCAAACTGTTACCTTTCCCAGGAAAAAAAAACTTTTACGTTCAACTACAGCATTGATAACGCACGTCCTTTGAATGCTGCATCTCCGCAATGTATTAAGAGATGTGCTATTTGATTCGCAGTCCATATTGATACTTGAATTATGGATGCGTGCATTGTAAGATGAGGCTAGTCATTCGGTAACGACTCAAATTATTCAATACTTATGTACGTGGTTAACTGGATATTCCAACGTTTGGAATCTTCCCTGTTATAAAAAAAACTAGAAAGACTAAGAGTGAGCTTTTGAAATGACTATTATTCAAGACGCATCGTACTTACCCGGAACAAGGTATAGAATCGCAACAACTATTTGGTGTTTATGTCATTTTAATATAAACTTTCGTGGAACGAAATCAATTGAGCAGCACCATACTACTATTTACTACCTTGTTGTTAAAGCGAATTTGATGCCTAGTCACCCTTATCAGAAATTTGTAGAAACTATAATAGAATCTCACCACATGCTGATATTTTCAGTTGTAGTGTTATGACTTAGTTCGACTGCGATTTCAATGGACATAATCTGTTGAGCAATAAATGCTCTTACTGTTATGATTAGAAAACAACGAATCCCCTTTAATTTATTTGATTGCAAAATAGGACAAGCCACAACTAACGCCAGATGGTGTTCAGGAAAATATGGAGATACATCAACGAGGTAGATGCAGGATACGCTGCGAAAGCTGTATTATTAAATACAAATAAAGGAGGAAGAAGAAGCAAGATGTATTACTATGATGAATTGAAGTCATAGTTTCACCTACTGTTAAGATATTTCTATTTTAAATCGTTTTTCCAATCAGGGCGGCTATCTGGTTCAGATTTGAGTAGGAAGATTCCTCGGAATTTGTCTTGTAAATGTCAAACCTTCATATAGTTCGAAATAATAGCATAGAGTGCAATGTGCCTGAACAGCATTGCATGTTCTATGGCAAAAGGTGCGCAGCTCAAAAACATTTCACTTAGTACTTACCTAGGAGTTTCAGTAGTAATAAACACATTTGTCATAGGTGATTTTAGGCCGGGGGAAGTCCTTCTGTAAAAAAAGGAAAAAATGTACTTTTTTTAATGGTGTAGTTAGAGTGGATAAAATAACTGACTCATATACATTTAGCGCTGTACAGCTCCATTACGATATAAAGATGTATATAGAAAATAATGTCTTTCCTGACTTCCTGAAACTCGCAGAGATTATCCTGCTCTTGAAGAATGGCTGTGAAAATTACAGACCCATTTCCAAATATAGCAAAGATTTTCGAAATACTTCTGAAGAATATGTGAGTACCTCGAATGTAACAATTTATTCTGTAATAGCCAGTTTGGATATCCTAGCAACAGATCAACGGAAGCACCGTTAAACGATCTTATCAGATTCATCAACAAATGTCTGGGAGATAACATATTCGCTCTAGCTAGCTTCTATGACCTTAATTGCGTTCAACATCACATTTTGATTCAAAAGTTGTCGCTATATGGTTTTAGCAATAACAACCTGTCCTTAATTACGAGGGTGGTCCCAGAAGAATTCGACCCAATGAAGAAAACCCAAAAATTTTGTAAAAAAATGTATTTATTTTTCAACATAATCTATTTTGAGCTCTATACACTTTTTCCAGCGATGTTCAATAAGTTCGACACCCTTTTTATAATAAGAACTGTCGTGCTCCTCAAAATAGCCATTAACTGCCGACATCACTTCTTCGTCGTTGGAAAATCTTTGACCACTGAGCCATTTTTTCAAGTTTGGAAAGCTTGGAAACAGAAAATAATCCGAGGGGGCTAAATCTGCTGAATAGGGTGCTTGCGGTAGCAATTCAAACTTTAATTCGTTCATTTTGGCCATTGCAATAACGGATTTGTGAGCTCGTACGTCTTATTTATTATACAGGGTGGCGCATCGAACACAAAACAGACGCATTTACTGGCAGCTCAGTTTTTTTTTGAAAAACGCTCAGACCCGTCGATTTTGTTTAGGAGGGAGACACAAGTTTGGCGAAAAATCACGTTAACACGTGCAGCCCCTTGGGCGAGGGTGACACCAGCCCTAAAATCTTAAATGTAAAGGGGGGTCGAGTGATACCTTATTTTAAAGGTCTTTCAATTCCCTTTATAATGATGTAAAATACATGAGCTTCAGTTCAGCAGTTTTGAAGATTTATTGATTTAAAGCTTAAAGTAGGCTTTAATAGGTACATCAGATTATTTTGTACTACTTTCAGAATAAATTTCACTAAAAGAATTTACTTAATAAGTAAACGCTTTTGTTCACTACGCCCATAGTTTGTTTATCATTTTGTTGTTGAAAATAGCTATTTGAGCGTTTTTTTTGTGGCAAAAAGGTTATTCCTTGAAGAAAGATAAGGAAACATCTCGTACCTATTGTAAATAGGAATTTAGTACATAGATTGCGTTTGATTTGACCAAACTTTGTTTCACAGCAGAAAGAGTTGAAATTATCGAAATATTTTTCGGAAATAATCAGTGCGCTAATAGAACAGCAGAAATATTTAATGAGCGACATAAGAACAGTAACGTGCATCGAAAATATGTTCTAGAACTTGTAGCTAAATTGCGGGAAACTGTCGCCAATAAAAAACGCAACATTGAATATCGCATAAGGAACGAAGCAATAGATGTAGGGGTTTTAGGGCAAGTTTATATAGATCCTACGTTAAGTACCCGCAAATTGGAGACTGTGTATGGTAACCGATTCTAAAGGCCCATAGTTTTCATCCATACAAAGTTCACCTGGTACAAGAACTTAATGAAGCCAATTTTGATCGGCAATTACAATTTTGTGAAGATATGAGCGAACGAATTATAAACGATGAACATTTTCTATTCAACACTTGTTTTTCCGACGATGTTCCTTTTTCTTAAATGGCGTAGTAAATCATCATAACTGCCGATATTGGTCCGATTCTAATCCCAGAACTTATCATGAGCCACAAAAATTAAATGTTGGGGCTGGTATTTTTGGCGACCATTTAGTTGGTCCTTTTGTGTTACCTGGAAATTTGACCGGTGAAATGTATTTGGAATTACTGGAAGACGCCATAGATCCTGCATTAACAGACATAATTGAAAATCAGAATGATCGGCGGTACATTGCGAATAGGTTGATGTTCCGACAGGATGGTTACCCACCACATTACGCATTACGTGTTAGACAATATTAAGATCAGACGTTTCCAAATCGATGGATTGATAGAAGGGGTGCCATTGAATGGCCCCCAAGATCGTCAGATTTATCATCTTTGGATTCCTTTATGTGGGTACATTTAAAAAGCAAAATCTATGATATTCAGCCAACATCATTAGAAGACCTGCGACAAAGAATTGTGAATGAGTGCCTTCAAATTACTCCTCAAATATTGCAAAATGTGCGGCAACGTTTTGAGCAAAATCTTCATTATTGCATGGAGAGTCATGGTGGCCATTTTCAATATTTACTTGCCTAACGGGTCAGTTCATTCTTCATTTTTAAATTACTTTGCTGCCAAATGTATTGATCTCCACTAACCATGATGTATTAGTTTTATTTAAATCAATAAATCTTCAAAACTACTGAACTGAAGTACATCAATTTTATATCGTTATAAAGGAAATTAAAAGACCTTTAAAATAAGGTATCACTCCACCCCCCTTTCCGTTTAAGATTTTGGGGGTGGTGTCACCCCCGCTTAGGGGGCTGCACGTGATATTTTGCCAAACTTGTGTCCCCCTCGAAAACAAAATCGACGGGTCTGAGCGTTTTTCAAAAAAAAGACTGAGCTGCCAGTAAATGCGTCTGTTTCGTCTTCGATGCGCCACCCTGTATATATATAGTTGTCAAAATTGTTTAGCTAACACTGTACATATTAACCACGGAGTTTCCCAAGGAAGTGTATTAGGCCCGATTCTTTTTTTAATTTACATCAATCATCTGTCAAACTGCAGCATCAATCAATGTATATTATTTGCGGATGAAACGACATCAATATGCTCTAATCAATTTTGAGCAGGTATTACTCGATTCTCAGCAGCATTTTCAGTATAGCGACAACTCAATCTCTTCTACTCTACTCTACTAAAAGTAATTTAATACAACCCGTGCAATTACTTGTAGTGTTCATTGATGCGAACTTAACCTGGGAATCATACATCACCACTTTATCAGACAAACTCTGAAAAGGTATTTAGCGAAGAAAGCTTTTTACAGCATATACGAGTTTTTCAATAATTGTTGACTATTTGATTTATTACTTAGTGCTTGTTTTCGATTTTGTTCATGTTTTTTAAGTGTATCTGCTATTTTTTGTATTACTTTTATTGTTCAAATGCTGGGACATTTCTTCGACGTTTGTAAGCACTTTTGGGTACAGAAACCAATAAATTATTATTACTATTAGTGGTATGAAAGGCATGAACAGAGTTAGGTAAGAAAGAACTGAAAGTGAATTGCGGACTATCTCAAAGGAGTTGGCGGTCAAAAAGAGGGACAAAAGGTTGTAAATTCTAGACATGAGAATACTTGATTAGGAGAGTTTCCATGTTAAGAGATTTTAAAATGGATCGAGTGATGTCACACATTTTAGTATATGTCCATGTCAGGAGAATTAAATATACCGTATATGTTGCATAATTTTACATAAATTTATCAGGTGCGGCATATCAGTAGAATTTATTAAAATCACATCATTAATCAACATGGTTTACAAAATTATTCATCCCATGCAAATATGTACTAGCGATGTCGCTTCACACGCACATTAAACATGCAGGTGCTCACATGTTATGTAATATTGAAGTTTCATGCAAAATTTCAAAAGGCTTTCAGTAGACATGGATACAGTCGATTTTATCTGCCGCCTCAGTACAACATAAACTAAACCGTGAAAGGTAAGAGGCATCCCTATGATAGGGGATTTTTTTGGCTTTCCAAGTCCCCTGTACGCAGTCCCCACTCTCATGTCTCATAGCGGTTGACAATATTAGTTTCTTAACGTTTGAAATACATACTGTAGGTCTAAGTCGCAAGTTACGATAGATTCGCGTTGACCCTTAGACGCATATAAAAGGAGCAATAAAATAACTGGTCTCAGAGAAAGGAGTAAGCACTTGTTGGAAGAATATATAATGTCTTGAAGACAACGTACGATTTCTTTTCTAAAGTAACAGTGAAATTAAACCTCATGTACTAGCAATTATTGCTTAAAACTATCACGCTTAGCGTTGATTCACAATTTATTATAACACGATAACATTTAAGCTACTATTGACACAATTATATTCTAAGCTTAAGGGATATCGTTAGACAAATCGTTTTGTCAATAAGCAAAAGAACTATCACGAATACGTATACAACGTCGTTCTCTTCAGGAACCATCAGTACGGTACAGGCCTAGAACGTACTGATGGTGAAAAAAGCATGGAACTTTGTACACGCTTGGTTCTGGTCACAGAGATGCTAAGCAAACAGATGCTGTTAACCTGTGTTCAATTTATGAAACCTTTGCATACTAAGACAGTGTGTAATTAGCGCTTCCCTGTATGACGAGACGCCAAATCAGTGAGCGATACTTGCCCGTTTTATCAAAGTGGACTGCCAATCAAAGATGCCTGGAAACGCTTTGTAATTTCGGTAGTACCGCGTTTGGCGAACTATCCATAGGTTTTGTTTGTTTGCTGTCCATTGTCTGTCTC